CGGGCCCGACGAATCCGTTTCAAATCTAGTAGAATAAGGGCGTGTCCAGCTCGTTCATTTCGGGAAATTTAGTACCTCCTCACGATCCGGGGTTCAAAACTGATCACTGTACCTATAAACGAATACGACCTGCGTCGAGTCCACCCTTTTTGTCAATTCTAGCGCGCGGACACATTGCCCCCACACAGACTTCAACAGTGCAGTGGCCTATTGAAACGAGGTAACCGGTTCCCTCGTCAACCAAAGCATTGGAATTTTCGCCAAGCCAACACTTCCACTACTGGTTTTGGCGAGTGTCAGGCTGCACTGGCGAAATCGAGCGCGCGATACGATGGGCACTCACTGTAGTGGGCAGGACGCGGTTCTGTACCATTGTTCGATGCGCACGTTGATTTCTGTAACGTGCGTCACACGATTCGAGGTACGTGCAGGGGGTGTGCCGTATCGTGAACGGGAGCTGATCGTGTCTGGCATTTTTGTGAAATTCAGTGTTACAACGCAAAATCTGGTAACTGAAGGGCTTTACGAACAGTAAATGAACGAGCTGGACACCCCTAAGAACGATTGAAAACGCTAAACCACGTTGAAGTAGGATATGGTGGGTTACAAAGTGGTTCTGGTTCTGAGAGAGCCCAACACCACATCGTCCCACGCCATCTCACACCCTTTTTCCGCTTTTCACGCTTCTAGTCTGCATACGGGCACCAATAACCATCACAGGACGGCAGTTGATGGCTGGATCGGCATTACGCACAGAGCAACCGCCGCATTCTCTGGCTTACAGATCCCGTTAGAATCAACTTTATTGCTCAGGATACTTCTGTATGTAGCTAGATTCTTTCATTCCCTTTTTTTTCTCGTTCCCAATAGTGAAACCCTGATATCGCAGCGACCGCCATGTTCTGGTCAACGCGCCACGACTATCAGCCAGTCGCGACCAACACCGAGGATGGCACCGCTTCGTCCGCATCCTACGGCGGAGAATCCGGAAGCCCGTCGCGAGCCTCACCGGGGACTGTGTCGCCATCAGCGTCATCGCCGCCGCCCAAGGCGCAGCAGTGGGTGGTGGTGCTCATCGCCGTGATTGGCGGGCTTGCACTGGCGATGACATTAGCGGCTGACGTCATGCGGGTGAAGGTGAGACGCGTAGCGAGCCAAGAGTATCGCAGCCGTTCGTTACCGTTCTTTACCGATCGCGGCCGCTCGCAGCCGTTCATTACCGTTCGATTCCGTTCCTACTCGTTCGCATGCAACCCCATGGCTCCCTAGGCCCTCGATCGCCAGGGCAGGCACGGTCTTTCTCCGCTCCCCTCGACTCGGCACTCACGGCGAGTTGCAATGCTGCGCCGGTCGCCAATGCAAATTCTCAAAAGCATCTCCGATATGCACGGGTGCAAGTTGCAGTGCTGCGGTCGCCTTTGAGGGGCGAGTTGCATTGCAAGTTGCAAAAGTGCTCCCCTCTCCCTCCGGCATGCAAACTCATTTCCCCTCGGCTTGGCACCGGGGCGAGTTGCAAATACACAGCGCTTCCCTCCCCCATCCTGTCCCCTCTTCCCCTTCCCCCACCCCTTCCCCCACCCCTTCCCCTTCACCCCCGCCAGCAGTCCGCCACTCACATGCTCCACGCACAGAACGCCCTTCACTGCGTTTATCCCAGCAACCCTCTTGTATCCCCTCTATCTCCCCCGCTCCGCCCCTCCTTCCCCCCATCCACCCCCCCCCCCCAACGCGCACTCTCTTTCACCCGCCAGCAGTCATCCACTCACATGCTAGACCCACAGAACGCGCTGCATTGCATCGGTCCCAGCAGCCCTCATGTACCCCCCCCGCTCCGCCCCGCTTCCCCCATCTTCCGCCTCCCCCCCTTCTCTCTCCCCTCCGACAGCAGTCCGCCACTCACATCCTCGACGCACAGAACGCGCTGCATTGCATCTACCCCAGCAGCACCCCCATATTGGTATGACTTCTGAGAATTCTCAAAAGTCATACCAATATAGCAGCACCCCCATATACCCCCTTTGTATACAATGCAATGCATCTGCTCCGTTGCCTCTGCTGGGGTAGATGCAATGCAGCGCGTTCTAGATTCCCATATACCCCCTTTGTATCTCCCCCTTCGTTGCCCCCCCCGCCCCTTCCCCCCGCCAGCAGTCATCCACTCACATGCTCGACGCGCAGAACGCCCTGCACTGCATCTACCCCAGCAGCCCCTCGGGGGGCTACGCTGCAGCAGCGGCGCTGCTGCTGGTGGTGGCTCAGGGCTTCGCACTCCTGCACGGGGGCACCCACTGGTGCCAGGCCTCCCGCCTCGACACACGGCGCAATCGCAACCTCTTGCTCGTGGTTCTCCTCACCAACCTGTGAGTTTACCAATCGGGGGCCTCGCTGCTGCTGGTGGTGGCTCAGGGTTTCACTCTGCTGCACGGAGGCACCCACTGCTGCCAGGCGTGCCTTTTGAGGGCCCGGGTGGGGGCTACGCTGCTGCAGCGGCGCTACTGCTGGTGGTGGCTCAGGGTTTCGCTCTCCTGCACGTGAGCACACACTGGTGCCATACCTCCCGCTTCGACACGCGGAGGAATTGCAACCCTCTGCTGGTGGTTCTCCTCGCCAATCTGTAATTGTACCAATCAGGGGCCTACGCTGCTGCGGCAGCAGCAGCGCTGTTGCTGGTGGTGGCTCAGGGTTTTGCTCTCCTGTGTGGGGTAACCCACTGGTGTCATGCCTCCCACCTCGACACGCGGCAGAACAGAAACTTTTCACTTATTGTTCTCCTCACCAATCTGTATTGTGTTTTAAGACGACTCTAAAGGGTCTTCCTCTATGGCACCATACTCGTGCTCTCTTCATCATCCTTCACCTTCCACGCCTCCTCCCAACCTTTGGTTCCTTCAATTAACCCTGACTCTCTGCTTTTCAACCTTCGCCTCCCTTAACAGGATCTTCCTCTGTGTAACCATCCTCGTCCTCTCCATCTCTTCTCTCTCCTTTGATTCCTTCAACTGACTTTGTTTTTATATCCAATACCCTTCATACACCTCCCCAAACAGGATCTTCCTTTGTGTTACCATCCTCGCTCTCTCCGTCTCCTCCCTAGACAACGCCCATCCCGGCACCTACGCCCTCCGCTCCACCTCCCCCTCCTCCGCCTCCCTCTCCCCCAACCAAACCCCCGACCCCTGCCCAGTCGCCGACTCGGCTCTCTTCCTCTCCACCTCTCTCCTCTGCCTCTTCACCGTTCTTCTCATGGAGGCGTATTACCTCGCTGCCATGCGCACGCGGCAATACGCGTGGATGATCTCCCGCTATTGCACTGTACGCTCGGTGCATCTCGAGGCGTTTCAGCGCGAGGCCATGCGGGCGAGCGTTGTGCCGGTCGGATCGCCGAGATCGGATCTCGAAGCAGGAGAGGAGATAAAGGAGGCCTAACACTTTCTACTACCAGTTATTTATTGTTGAAACATGCAAAATACACATATTGTAGCACATTGCTAGCTCGTTAAAGTGTACCAACAATATTGCCAGTTGTATTGTGCGGATGATTTCCCGCTGCCACTATTGCACCGTGCGCTAGGTGCGTCTGGATTCTGGAGGCGTTTCAGCGCGAGGCAATGCGCGGGCGAGCGTCGTGCCGGTTGGATCGCCGAGGTCGGATCTAGAAGCAGGAGAGGAGATCAAGGAAGCCTAGCATTTTCTGGTGATTATTTATCTTGAAATATACAATAAAATAGTTACTGTAGTTTGAGGACACTGACGAGTCAGTGTTGTATCGGGGTCTACCCTGAAACCGAAAACTCCTTGTTTTGGCGCGCCGTCACTGTGCACCGTGCACCAAGGGGATTTCTGGCGAAACATGCTCTGACAGGGCGAATCTCTTGTGTGAGGGGCGAATCTGCTGCTGTGTCAGGGCAAATCTGCTGTGATTGGGCGAATTTGCTGTGCTGCGACAGCGCGTAACGACTGTGCGAGGTCGAATTTGCCGTCAGGGCGAATCTGCAGTGACGAACCAAGTCCGAATCATCAGTCAAGTACACAACCAGAGATCAGAAACAATTCTTAACAATTGTCCTATTCGATTGGTCAGACAAGATTTCTGACCAATCAGACACGGAAATAGCAGAATCCTGGCCGAATTTGGGAATTGTAAAGTGAGGGCAGTCTGATTCGCTGTGTTATGACAGCATACCAGTAAAGCAACTACCGTAATCTCCCGGATAGTAGACCCTAGGGTCTTATGTAAAATTCATACAAAAAAATAGGGGGGGGTCTTGTCAACGGCACAAGATTGTTTAGTACCCGGGTCTTATTAAATTGATATAATTTTTAAAGGTGTAATCGAATGCCTCATTGATGAGGATGCTTGACTTTTTTTTTCCCTGTTGTTTGGGCCGCACATGTGCGACTTCTGCGATGTAGCCACATCACACAGGGGAATCAGTTTGTGGCCTTCTCATTGGCCGAAATCGCACGTTACCACAATCTAGCATTGAGATTCGCTTTGTGGCTCGTCAGCGTGCCATCCCACCTCGACACCCTGACACATGCACGGCTCGAGCGCAGGGGCTGCACGGTGGCCCGTGCAGCAACCCCTACTGTTCAACGGGAGGCACGTCAATCCTTTCACCCATCACAATCCTTCTCCTCCGCCTGTTTCTTCATCCACGCACGAAACTGATTTCTGCTCGGCAGAGTGGTGCGCTTAGGGCCCGTAACTCTAGGATGGTCGTCTTAAGATGGCTGGAGGAAGTAATTGGAGCAGTAGCTAGAGGTGTAAGCTATCGTTCACGGTGGTGACGTCTCCAGATTCAGGGATGTCGCACGCAAGGCGCCCTTGTCCCACTAACGTTAATCGAGCATCGCTAGCACGAGTTTCACCCCGGCCCGTTTTGCCAACAACTTCACCTTCCTCCAGCGATCCTAGCGACAGTTCCCATGGCATTCGCCGACCGCCGCTTCCTAGAGTCGTGATCCCTACTTTTCCGGAGTCTAGTCGCCCGCAAGGCATGAAACGAAGAATTCTAGATGCTGCGCCTCCTTCCCCTCGTCATAGGATGACGAAACGCTCTCGTAACGCGTTCACCGCCAAGGAGAAATTGCACTGGCTGGCCATGTTGGAGTCACAACCTGACCTCAGCATCCGTGGCTTGACGAAGCTCGCCAAGGTGCAGGGAGGCGACTCAAGGAGCGTCTCGAGGTCGCCGCTGGTTGTCGCCGACGTCTTAACGGTGGAGGGCGTAGGGCGAAGTGGCCCCTGATGGAGAAAGCGGTTTACCGCCAATTCTTGGCGCACCGTGCCAAAGGATTGGCGGTGTCGGTGAGCCTTCTCCGCAAATGGGCAACTCAGTACATGAAGCACCGTCAGCCTACCGCCGATTTTCGCGCATCGGCACGTTGGACCTTTCGCTACCGCGTGCGGTGGTCGTTGGCGCAACGCGTGAAGACAAAGATGGGGCAAAAACTAGCCGACGGTGAGCAAGCTGCCTGTCACCCCCCCTTGCCGTAACGGTTTAGGTAAAATGCTATATAACGCATGTGTCGTTGTGTATTTAACAGATTGCAAGGGAAAGGTGGAGTCCTTCTGGGAATTCGTCCGCCAGATGCGCATGGTTCATCGCTTTCCCCTCAACCTCATCGTGAATGCTGACCAGGCCCCGCTCTGGTTGGAGATGCCGGCGGAACGCACCCTCGAAATGAAAGGCGCCCGCACGGTGCATGTCAGGACGGCGGGGTACGAGAAGGAGCGTGTCAGTGTCATGTTGGCAGTGACGGTTGACGGCCTGAAGCTTCCCTCGTATGTCATCTTCAAGCGGAAGACGGTGCCACGAATCGTGGTGCCACCAGGTGAGCCCAATGTGTTTCTGTCGTTGATTCCTTCTGTTCCTCTTGTTTCTCCGTTACTGATTTCCAGTCGTGGCGTGTGCAGGTATCGTCATCCGCGCCCAAGAGAAGGGTTGGATGGACGAGCGCCTTGTCCAAGATTGGACAACACAGGTGCTCGTCCCCTTCTTGAAGCCGTTGCGGGACGAGGGCGGACGGCGCAAGCAAGCGCTCCTTGTCTTCGACTCGTACAAAGGGCACCTGACGGAATCTGTGGGGCAAACTCTGAAGATGTTTAAGGTGACGTGTGCCGTCATCCCTGGCGGTTGCACCCCCCTGGCACAACCGCTTGACGTCTCCATCAACCGCAGTTTCAAGTGCGGTGTTCGCCACCGCTACAGCACGTGGTTTGAGGAGGTCGGGATCGGCCAAACGACACGTGCAGGTGAGTCGTGGTCGATTTGTGAGCTTTAAGGGCGTGTTCCTACAGCCCCTTATCAGGTGACCTCTTGTCAGACTTGTGCGGTTCAATGCGATTCAACGCGATCGAATTTTATTATGCGCGTTTCAGTGCGGTGCGACGCGAATCTGACAAGAGGTTCGCCTGATAAGAGGCCGTAGGAACACGCCCTAAGATGACTAGTCAGCATTAACTCCACTGCCTTTACATCTCTGCCGTTCATTCTTCTTGTGAACTCCAGGGAACTTGAAGAAGCCCCCCCCTGAAGTGATCCTGAAGTGGATCGTCGAGTCATGGGCTGATGTGCTAGAGGAGCTGGTGAAGAAAGCTTTCCTCACGTGCAGCATCTCCAGTGCCGAAGACGGGAGCGAGGATCATCTGATCCTGGCTCACCTGCGGGACAAGGCGGAATTGGAGGTGCTGGAGGATGTGCTGGACGAGGGGGAGGAGGGGGTGAACCCCAACCCGTTCTACGAAGACCCCTCACACGCCCCTGAGCCCGCCGCCACCAAGGACGATGAGGCAGAGGACGAGGAGGAAGGGCTTGCAGGGGAGGAGGATGTGGTGGATGCTGCTGCCGAGGAAGGGGATGTGATGGCTCCGGAGGAGGAGGGGGATGAGGCAGATGCAGAGATGGGAGGTGCGGACGAGTGGAGTGAGGATGGAGACGACTGGTGGGCAGCAGGCCGCTATGAGGGAGAGGAAGTGGAGGAGTGGGTTGCAGGCGAGGATGAGTGACTATTTTTATGTTGTTCTCACCCCTTGTTGCCCCCTACATCTCTGAAATGCAAACCGTGAATAGGTTGCATTGGTGTCAAGCTTGTCTTGCTAGTGAAGCACTTGAAAAGACATCTTATTTCAATTATAGAATTGTTACAACCATAAGGAGGGGGGTCTAGTAATGTTTACCCCTCTAGGGGGGGTTATAGTGAAAACCTGCCAAAATAAAAGACCCACCCCCGTAATACAGACCCGGGGGTCTTGTATTCTGGGGAGTCTACTATCCGGGAGCTTACGGTATGCTGATCAGTGTTGAAGTTGTAGAAACCCTGATTGATCAGCGTTTTATTTCTAACAACCCTGTAAATTCAGTGTTTCACACTAGACGACACTGAAAATCAGTGTTACCCTCCTAGGGACACTGAGTGCTCAGGGTACACAAAAACCAATCTGAGGCCCTGACTGTAGCACGTTCCTAGCTCATGAAAATGTACCAACGTTATTACCTGTGTATTGCGTGAATGATATCCCGCTATTGCACCGTGTCGTGCCAATTGGATCGCTAAGATTGGATCTAGAAGCTGGAGGAGGAGGGCAAGATCTAGAAACTGGATCAAGCTGGATCTAGAAGCAAGGTCTAGTACTGGTGGTACAAGATCCAAGCATCCCATTGTGCTGTTCAAGCTAAACTGGTACAGTACTGGTATGCAGCTCTGCTTTCATGGAAACAGGTGGTTTTAAACATCACATTACACTGCATGTAGTGGATCATTTTCCAAGTGGAATATAGATACTACGGTACATGGGCTAGCCTAGCAGTCACACAATCCAGGCAATCAATAAGAATAATAAAAAGCTAGGAGTCGCCTCTTCTGCTGCTAAGGCAAGACACGAAAGGGATTCACGAAGGCAATTTAGAAAAGCAAGTCAAGTCGGTGCCAGTGTCAGTTTCAGACGGTAGGCTAGGAGGAGCCTGGTGGTTACTGAAGGTAGGGGAGGGAGGTTGAGGGAAGATACAGGCAGCGGAAACGCGAGAAAGTCGGGGGGTAGGTGAAGCTGCAAGGGATGAGAGGCAGGGAAAACTTACATCTGTAAGGCAGGGGAACAGTAAGAGGAAAGTGTGGGGGAGACGAGAGGTGAGTTGGTGGAAGGGGGGGAGAGGGCGAGGAGGATGAGGGATGGGTGGGGTGAAATATGACGGGTGAGCGCGGGTGGAGATGATGGGGGATGGGGGGTGGGTGGGAGAAAATGGGGGGTGAATGGGAAGGGAAACGAGGGGTGAGCGAGAAGGGAAAGGAGGGGTGAGCGGGAAGGGAAAGGAGGGTTGAGCGGGAAGGGAAAGTAGGGGTGAGTGGGGGAGGGAAAGGAGGGGGAGAGAGCAGATGAGGGGTGAATGGAGGATGGGGTGCGATGAGGGGTGCGGCGGGGAGATGAGAGGAGAGCGGGGCAGGGAATTGGGGGGGGGGGGGGGGGAGGAGGGGAGGGGTGGTGACGGGAGATGGGGGAGACGAGAAGAGGGGAGAACGGGGAGATGATGGGAGAACTGGAAGGGGAGATGAGGAGAGTAGGGTAAGTTAAGGGGAATGCGGAGGGGAAATGAGGAGTGACGGGAAACAATGAGGAAGGATCGGGGAAGGAGCAGGGGGAGATGATGGAAAGCGGGGGGGAGGAGAGAGGAGAGGGGGGGAACATGCGGGGAGAGCGGGAGGAGATGAGGAGATGGGGAATGTCCCCCCCCACCCAACCGCACCCCATCCCCCCTCCCCATCTCTACCCACCTCCCCTTCCTCACCCCCCACCACCCCACCCCCCCTCCTCCTCCACTCCCCTCCCCCCCCTTCCCCCGCTCACACGCCCCACCCCACCCCCCTTACATTTCCCCTTTTCACCTTTCTGCCGACTTGCCTGCTAGCGGACCTGCAATCACCGCGTTTGACGCTTGACTTGCCTAACGCGATCGAATCGTCGGCAACGCGGAATCTAACAGGTGCGAACCGAAGCTACTAATGCGCCCGTATCGAAAGTTTCCGTAAATCGACGGTGGCCGCCAGGTCGATGTTAATTAATCCGTCCGAAATGTGTCCACAAATCGACACGGCTAATGTGTCCGCAAGTCGATGTTACTAATCCGTCCCGAAATTTAACGTCGAATTCCAGCCGCACTGAGTAAGTTCGAAAAAATGGAGCGACTACTGGCTGCCTTATGTAATCTGAAGCGCGCAACTGTCGGTACATATTCACTAAGATCTGATTATGGTAAGAGTTACTGGCGGTGCTCACATCATCACGTGAAGCGACTACTTTAAAACTACGCATAATTTCAGCGACTGACACTATCTACGGTGCTACGCCTTGGGTCGCGTTCAGATCTATCGGAATGACAACAAGAAGCGACGGTGGCGCGCCTAGATCTACTAACAAGGAACAAATACAAGTAATGGAAGTGCATCACTGAACTAGTAGAAGGTGCGAGGTGCTGGTTGAAATGCCAAGGTGGTTGTACGATGGGTGACCGAAACACCCTCGACTCCGATTGGCTCGCATGACTGTTTATATCAACCACTCCAAGCTATTTCTGCTGCCCGAACCTGGTTCACACGCAGCGAAGGTACTTTCGAGAGCAGCTAAACTTCCTGAGGATTCAGCCAAACATTTTTCTTACCACATTCTACACCACACAATCCCGCGCCTCACGCGGGCCTCACTAAGTAAAACTCGTGGTCCTTTTCTAGCAGAGTGTGCCACGTCAGTTTCCTCCTAAAAGGTTCGAGCCTGCCCCAGCTCCAAACCTGGGGTGCGCACCAAACCCATCCACCTGCGATACGCGCCCCAAGAAAACTCGTTTGCAGCAAACCAATGCAAACCAAACTGAACAGAATTCTCAACTGAACATTGAAGTGTTCAGATCGTATTGCAATGGAGTTTGAATGTTGTGTACTGTACACACTTCAGCCGCCTCCAAATTATTCCGGCATTCCCCGCAGACATTATCCACGCGGGGCCCTCGAGAAAATCTCCACCGTAAAATAGCGGCTCCATTGACAGCTCTAATCCATCTTCACCGTTGACGGAGGCTATGGTAATCCAGCGCATCAATTCAACAAAAACCAACCAATGCCAGCCCTTCCCGCACTTCAGGCAGAAAGAGCTGCCGTGTCGCACCCCACTGCACCCAGCAGCACATCACTTTTTGAATTTAGGGCGCGCTCTGCCGCGCGGGGCGGCCTGCGCCCAACACCATGCTCGAATGGAGTTCATCGCTGCTTCATCTCCTGCCTGACTTGATCCTCTTCTGGAGCACCTGAAACGGCCTTCTCTGTCTTCTCCTGCAGCCTCTTCGCTCACAGCGAGCATCCCATACCTCCCAACCAAAAAACAGTCAAGTAGAATCAATAGACCAATTTCAGATTTATCCTTCGCGATTACATTTGAAGGATCTTTACAAGAACTTCTCCTACCTTATACGGACTTTAGGCTTCAAGCTCCACGGAGCAGTTTGTGATTAATGAAGCCAACCGGCTCGTACAAGAGGAAGCACTTGGCATGCTGCAGCTGGGTGGGATGGGTTGGGTAGCTTAGAGAGTCGTAAAAGCTGCGCTGCCTCGAGCTGATCCTGGTACGACGCCGAGGTTCTCGCGGCATGGTCTCCGCGAGAACTCCCGTTAAAATCCCGTGTGGGCTCCAATCCTGTGTGGGTTCCAATCCCGTGTGGTCTTCAATCCCGTGTGGGCTCCAATCCCGTGTGGGCTCCTATCCCGTGTGGTCTTCAATCCCGTGTGGGCTCCAATCCCGTGTGGGCTCCAATCCCGTGTGGGCTCCAATCCCGTGTGGGCTCCAATCCCGTGTGGGCTCCAATCCCGTGTGGGCTCCAATCCCGTGTGGGCTCCAATCCCGTGTGGGCTCCAACCCAGTGTGGGCTTCAATCTCCTCCCGTGTGGGCTTCAATCTCCTCCCGTGTGGGCTTCAATCTCCTCCCGTGTGGGCTTCAATCTCCTCCCGTGTGGGCTTCAATCTCCTCCCGTGTGGGCTTCAATCTCCTCCCGTGTGGGCTTCAGTCTCCTCCCGTGTGGACTCTCGCGGAGGTGAGTTCAGTTTATCTCTTCTCTTCTCGCCTTAACGTCGTCACCTCGCTTCTCGCCGCTCATCTCGGTAAGTTCAATGTTCCTTTCTTCTCGCTCACGCATTGCGACCTTGGCGCTTCACGCGGCGGCGCCGATGTCAACTTGATGGTTTGACCATCGGTAATGGAGCTTCGGTTTCAACTTGGTAAGGCACCCGCTTTATTGTTCTTCGTCGCTTTAATGATCCTCGCTTTACATCCAAGTTTCTAACCTTGTTTGTTGTTATATGCAGTAAAAGAAAGCGGCCCGTTGGTGGACCTTCACACCGCGATTGGCGTCGCTTCCGTGGTGCGGTCGCATGGCGCTTGGCGACGCTTCTACCGTCGCTCGGCGCTTGGCGACGCTTCTACCGTCGCTCGGCGCTTGGCGACGCTTCTCCCGTCGCTCGGCGCTTGGCGACGCTTCTCCCGTCACTCGGCGGTTGGCGACGCTTCCCCCGTTGCGCGGCGCTTCGCGCGGCTCTCGGCGACGCGTCCCGTCGCATGGCGGCACTTCTCTTTTTCGTCGTCGTCATTTTCTCGTTTTTGCTGTTTTCTGTTTAGCTTTTTTATCATTCAATTCTGACCGTGGTCGTTGTTACCTGCAGTTAGTAAAGCGGCCTGTTCTGGAGCTTCACACGGCTCTTCGCGACGTTTCTTCCTCCGTGGAGCTGCGATTGGAGCGGCTCTTGGCGACGGCTCTCCCACCGCACGGCGATTGGCACGGCGTTCCGCTTGACGGTTGGCGACGCATCCCGTCGCTTGGCGGTTGGCGACGCTTCTCTCGTCGCTCGGTGGTTGGCGACGCTTCTTCCGTCGCGCGGCGCTTCGTGCGGCTCTCGGCGACGCGCCTCGTCGCATGGCGGCACTTCTCTTTTTCGTCGTCGTTTCTTTCTCGTTTGTTGTTGTTTTCTGTTTCGCTTTTTTATCATTCGGTTCTGACCGTGGTCGTTGTTACCTGCAGTTAGTAAAGTGGCCTGTTTTGGAGCTTCAAACGGCGATTCGCGACGTTTCTTCCTCCGTGTAGCGGCGATTGGAGCGGCTCTTGGCGACGGCTCTCCCACCGCACGGCGATTGGCACGGCGATTGGTTAGCGACGCTTCTCCCGCCGCTCGGCGGTTGGCGACGCTTCTCCCGTCGCTCGGTGGTTGGCGACGCTTCTCCCGCCGCGACGCTTCGTGCGGCTCTCGGCGACGCGTCTCGTCGCATGGCGGCACTTCTCGTTTTCGTCGTCGTTTGTTTCTCGTTTCCTTCGTCATCGTTTCTGTCTCGCCTTTTTATCATTCGGTTCTGACCATGGTCATTGTTACCTGCAGTTAGTAAAGCGGCCTGTTTTGAAGCTTCACACGGCGATTCGCGACATTTCTTCCTCCGTGGAGCGGCGATTGGCGCGGCTCTCGGCGACGTCACAGCGATTGGCACGGCGCTTCGCTTGGCGGTTGGCGACGCTTCTCCCGTCGCGCGGCGCTTCATGCGGCTCTCGGCGACGCGTCTCCTCGCATGGCGGCACTTCTCTTTTTCGTCGTCGTTTTTTTCTCGTTTATTGATGTTTTCTGTTTCGCTTTGTTATCTTCAAGTTCTGACCATGCTCCTTGTTACCCGCAGTTAGTGTAGCGGCATGTTTGGCACGGCGCATCGCTCGGACGCTTCTCTCGTCGCTCGGCGGTTGGCGACCCTTCTCTCGTCGTGCGGCCCTTCGCACGGCGGTTGGCGGCTCTTCTTCAACCACCCTCCCTGGTAAGGTGTTGTTTCAATTGTACTTAATTGTTTTCTTCAAAATCACTAACAGTTTCTGTTTATCCTTGTAGCAGGAGCAGTAGCGGGAACGGGAGCGGGAACGGCAGCAACTTTTATCATAGTAAGTTGTCGTTTCAGTTAAGAATGTTATTTCATTGCTTACTACTAACATTCTCTGCTTGCCCTTGTAGCAGGAACAAGAGCAGCAACGGGAGCGGGAACGGCAACAACAACTTCCAAGGTGAGGTGTCGTTTCAGTTTTAGTAGTTTTTTACTTTACCTTTACTAATTCATTCTGCTTGCCCTTGTAGCAGGATCCGCGAGGAGCAGAGGAACAACGGATCGTCGGCGGAACGACGGTGGCGCGGATCGACGGCGGAACGACGGTGGCGCGGAACGACGGTGGCGCGGAACGACGGTGGCGCGGAACGACGGTGGCGCGGATCGACGGCGGGGCGTCGGAGCAGCGGAGTGGCGGCGTGGCGATGAAGCAGAGCGGCGGATCGGCGGACCGGCGGACCTCCGGCGGAGCCGCGCTGGAGTTTGACTCCTTCCCCCTCCCCCCTCCCCCGTTCCCCCTCCCTTTGCAGGCAGGAACCAGCGTTGTCAGCTAGGACGATTAGGAACGATAGATTAAGGGAGCTAGTGGTGGGGGGTTGGGTTAGGTCCGGTTTACCTCCTCCTCCTCTTCCCTCTCCTCAACGGCCGTTTTCACTGCTCTGCTCAACCTGACAACGGAAGAGAGATCTTCCTGAGGCGTCGCTCTCATCTCAAATTAACCCGAAATTATCGTCCCTCCCTTCCGAAATTATCGTCCCTCCCTTCCGAAATTATCGTCCCTCCCCTCCCAAACAGGTGTCCCGAACGAATGACCTCCACCTCAGCGCGGTGTTCGGGTGTAACGCTAGAGGCATTTGCCTCTAGCGGCCAAGAGGGGTCAAGGGTAAGTGGAAGATCGAGCGGCGACGGATCTGCGGAGGAGGCGATGTTCAAACGGCGGCGGATCTGAGGAGGAAGACACTCCGGAGGAAGACGCTCTAGCGATGCATTTTGGAATTGTATGGCTTGTACTTTATAAATCCAATTGTTGTACTTCATAAATCCAAGTGCTGTTTATGACTTTTGTGAATAATAAGGTTTAGGCATTACACAAACCATCCTGCATACTCCATGGAGCTCAGGCTGCCGCGCGCGGCATAGGCGACTCAGCTTCAAATATGTTTCAAATATGAAGTCACGCTGTGTGTAGTCAGGTGCGACACGGCCGCTCCCTTCTGTGCTAAAGAACGGGCGAAAGTTGAATGGATGGCGGTGGATGATCGTAGCCGCAGTCAACACTGGAGACCACCTCGCGCTGTGGGATGGAGCTGGTGGTACAACACAATTTGAACACTTTTAGTTTCTGGCTTAGAGATACTCAGGGAGCGAATTGCTTGTGGATGGTCTTTGTCAGCTGGCTACGCAGGTTTGGAGCTGGGGC